TAACAATAACCAACCTGTATTGAGCACTTACTTAAATCAAAAGCATTGCTGAGCATGTGAAATCTTTTTTTAAATTTATTTATTGATAGAGAGAGAGAAATTGATTTGTTGCTTCACTTATTTATGCATTCATTGGTCAATTCTTATGTGTGCCCTGACCAAGGATCAAGTCTGCAACCTTGGGGTAATGAAACAAGGCTCTAACCAACTAAGCTACCCAGCCAGGGCTCTATGTGAAAACTTAAGGGTACAAGAAATAATGGTGTATCTTATAATTAATGGCATATTTTATTTGATAACAGATAGTATATTGTATTACAATTTTTTACACTTCTTTCTGCCCCACTAAGCTATGAATTCTTTGAAGACAGAGGCTGCATTACTCAATTTTATGTCCTTAGCACCCAGAATAGTTCCTGGCACATAAAAAGCATTTGACAAATTTCTTTAATTCAGTTGAAAAGGAATGTAATCTTTTTGACAGGGTGACAGGTAGGTGCAATCTAGGTGACAAAGTCATCACTATTGTCACCAAAACTGTTGGTCATCCTCAAGGCCCTCTTGGCCTAGGCAAACAAAGTCACAGCTTCTCCTAGTTTTATGCCAGATAAGTTCTATGTAGCTCTAAAAGTGGGTAATAGTTCCCTCATTCAAAGCGATGCTTGTGTTTTCAGATTCTTATAGTGGAGAATAATGTCAAATATTTTCTTAGCTAGACAGTCACCTTGCTATCAGTATTTCCTTATTTACAGAAGAAAAAAATAGGGTTTTTTTCCACTTCAAAATTTCATTCTTGCTGCATATAGTTAAATGGGCATTTACTATATTTTACTTATATACAGACACACACAGACACAGACACACAAAATCAGGAATATAGATGCCCACTTTACACTAAGTTGCTTTGACTTTTTCTTTTTTTTAAAAAAAATTTTATTTATTTATTTTTAGAGAGAGAGGAAGGGAAGGAGAAAGAGTGGGAGAGAAACATCAGTGCGTGGTTGCCTCTCATGCTCCCCCTACTGGGGACCTGGTCGGCAACCCAGACATGTGCCCTGACTGGGAATCAAACCTGCAACCCTTTGCTTCACAGGCCTGTGCTCAATCCACTGAGCTACACCAGCCAGGGCATGTGTTTTTCTTGTGTCAAGTACTTTCAAAAGCTCTTTTTTGATTCAAAGTATTATATTATCCCTGTCAGTTAAAGTAGACCAGTTTCTTAACATGGGCTTGGTGATCAATTCACTAGTAACTAAAGCATTAAAAATACAATTGTCTAATACCTAGATTTCCCTTTCTTTAAAATTGGGATATTTATAAATAGTATTGAATGAGTGAATACTTAGTTGTACAAAAGAACTTTTCTGAGAAACAGGAACTGAGGAAAATCAGGCCTGGTGGCCAAGGGCTACTCATTCATTTTTATATTTTACTTTTTTAGGGTTAGCATACCTAGAGTAAAATTTAGAAATAATAAATGTATAATAAATGTATATATATATATTAGTTAAAACTCATTGAATATACAGTTGTATTGTATATATATTGTATATATATTGTAGAATAATCCCACTGCCCAGAACATTCCCTGGCACCACTTTGTAGCCAGTGCCCTCCTGCACCCTGGCCCCTGGTACCGAAGGTCCTTTTGACTTAATACAAATAGAGACACATAGATAGAATAATATAATCTTCTGTGTCTGGCATCTTTTGCTTAGCACGCTGTCCTTGAGATGTATTCATATTGTATCAGTAGTTAAACTTTTTTATTGCTGTGTTATATATAACATTTATTTAAATTTTTAAATTTAATTTATGTTTTCATTTCTCTGTTGACAGATATTTGAGTTGTTTTCAATTTCACTCCATTATAGATTAAACAGCCAATAACTTGGAGTACAGCTCTTAGGTTTTCATTCATCTTGAATAAATATGCCTTGTAATGGGGCTAGATTTCACGGTTAGTATATTCTCTATAAGAAACTGCCAAATTGTTTTGCAAAGTGACTGTACAAGTTTACCTTTTCAACGGTAATGTGAGTTCTAGTGTCTTCACATCCTGAACGACATTCGGTATTGTCAATCTTCCAACCCTTCTATTGTTTAGTTTCTAGTGTTCTTTCTAAGAAAGCTTGGACTAACCCAAGGTCACAAAGATTTCCCTTTATATTTCTTCTAGAAGTGTTATAGTTTTAGCTTTTACATTTAGAAATATGGTCCATTTTGAGTTAAATTTTGGTATAGTGTAGAAGGTGATTAATATTCTTGTTTCTCCCCATGTAGATAGCCAATTGTTGGCATCATTTGTGAAAAGACTCGCTTTCCTCTGTGAATTACCATGGTACCTTTGGCATCATCTCTAACATCCTCCTTTTTCACAAAATCCCATCTCATCTCCTTTTAACCAGTCCTTCCTCACTCAAAACCATGGTCTTGGTCTTGCTATGGTCAGGTTTAGACAAACAAACAAATAAATAAACCAACAGAAAAAAAACCCATAAAACCCTGCAGTGGATCCCAGGACACTGTGACCTTGCTCAGATCCTCTTCAGAACAGAGATACTCACTCCAGCAGCCAGGTGCTTTGGTAGGTGATGGCTCACAGTTGTGTCCCTCCCCAGGAACTGCTCCCACCTGCAGGAATCAGCCTTGCCCAAGGCTGTACCCTGCTCCCTGGGAACTGATCACATCCAGTGCCCTCTCAGTGTGGGTAAGAAGGTCTGGCCACCTGGACAATGTGGGACAACACTGAAGGGCCATTTGGGATGCAGTCTCTGGTGCATCTGCATCATAGCCAACTTCCCTTCAGCCCCTTACAAGTACTATGGCCCAAATTATGCCCCCATGAATTGCCTCCTGGAAATCTCAGGGTTTCGGGGACTATTTCCTAGGGAGTCTAACCTGTGATCATCTTAAAGCTGATTATGTCATTACTCTGCTTGGCATAGGAAGGTTTACACAGTCTGGCTTAAATCCAACTTTCTCTCAACTTCCTCTGTCACTACTGACTCTGTCCTCCAGACAACTTCGCGTGAATTTGTTACTACGAAATTCCATATTCCTACATTTTGCCTGTGGTTCTATCTCTCTCAAGGATAAGTCTTTCACCTCCTGTTTATCCTTCCGTTCTACCTTGGATCAGACCTCCTCTGGCAATTTATCACTTTTTTCCCCACAGCACCATGTCCCCCTTTATATAAGAATTTACCACCTGACACGGAAATAGATTCGTTTCCTTCCCTGACCCTCCTACTAAATTGTGAGCTTCTCTACACTGGAACTGGGTCCTGTGCTGTCTTCAGTAGGTTATAGATCTTCAATCCCTTTTTGGTGAATGAATTAATGATAAATACCAAGAAAAGCTGAGTATTGTAAAAAGTATTAAACACTTGGAAATTTGTGCTACACTTGGTTCCTGGTATCTTATACCTAGACTAGCAATTTTCAACACACAAACTAATTACTAAAATTCTGTAGCACACTGATATATTTTTTTGCCAGTCTGACAAAAATTAGGCATAGTTTTGATTGATTTACCAAAAAAAGTACCATAATAATAATTATCTACCCTTTTTGCTGCAAAGTGACTTTTTAAAAAATTAGGTGCTTATATTTTATGAAGATTTTCAGTACCAAGAATTAACCAATTGCAACCTTATTATGTGACATGACCAATATGATACAACTCCATTTATATTGGGCTGGCCAAAATTTTCATGATTTTTTCCTGTAAAATAAAAAACACAGTTTTCATTTTCATCAATAACTTTATTGATATTTTAACTTTAACTTTAATCAATTAACTTTATTTGATATTTTGAGTATGTCAGCTATCTTCCATGTGGCAGAACATTGATTGTTCTCAGTTAGAGTCTCAATTTGATCACTATCAACTTCAACTGGTCTACCTGACTGTGGAGCATTGTCCAGCAAGAAATCTCCAGCACAAAACTTCATAAGCCACTTTTTATAAAAATTATATTTTATTGATTATGCTGTTACAGTTGTCCTGAATTTTCCCCCTTTGCCTCCCTCCACCCAGCACCCCCTACTCCCTCAGGCAATCCCCCCACCATTGTTCATGTCCCCGGGTCATACGTGTGAGTTCTTTGGCTACTCCCTTTCCTGCACTGCACTTTACATCCCATGGCTGTTCTGTAACTACCTATTTATACTTCTTAATCCCCTGGCCTCTTTGGCCATTCTTCCTGTCCCCCTTCCCATCTGGCAACCTTCTGGTAACTAACTTTTCTCTTGCTTTTAAGAGTCTCTCTTTATCTTTAACCTTTGGCTTCTTAATAATGATGTGTCTTGTAGTAGCCTCTTTGCGTCCATCATAATTGGGACTCTGTGCTTCCTGGACTTACATTACTATTTCTTTCACCAAATTAAGGAACTTTTCTTTCATTATTTTTTCAAATAGATTTCCAATTTCTTGCTCTTTCTCTTCTTTTTCTGGAACCCCTATGAGGCAAACATTGTACTTCTTAAAGTTTTCCCAGAGGCTGCTTATACTGTCCTCATTTTTTTTGGGGGGGGGGGAATTTTTTTTTCTTGTTCTACGTGGGTTTTTGTTTTGTTTTGTTTGCTTTTTATGTTCCAAACCATTAATTTGATTCTTGGCTTCATCCATTCTACTGTTGTTTCCTTATGAATTGTTCTTTATTTCAATTGGTATATCCTTCATTTCTGATTGGGTCTTTTTAATACTGCTGAGGTCCTTGCTAATTTCCTTGAGCATCTTATAACCGGTGTTTTGAACTCTGAATCTGGTAGATTGCTTATCTCCATTTCATTTAGCTCTTTTACTGGAGTTTTGACCTGTTCTTTCACTTGGGCCATGTTTCTTTGTCTCCTTGTTTTGGCAGTCTTCCTGTGTTTATTTCTATGTATTAGGTAGAGCTGCTTTGACTCAGTGTCTTGGTAGCATGGCCTAATGCAGTAGGTGTCCTGTAGGGTCCAGTGGATACAGCTTCCCCTATCACCCAAGTTGGGTACTCGAGGTGCACCCTTTGTGTGGGCTGAGTCCAGTAAATGACCTCTGCTTGCCCTGATGCCAGAACTTCAGTCTCTTCCTGGTGCTCTTCAAGCTGCCACCCTGGTGCTGGAGCTCAGAGGGAGTGAGTCTGAGTAGGTGAGTCCATGCGTGGGTTCCTGAAGAGGAATTGCTTAGGACTCCAGAAGCCTCCTCCACCCACTCAATCCTCACTGGTTTTTGCTGCCAGAAATTTTGGGGACTTATCTTACTGGCACTGCAATCCAGGGCCAGGGGGCCTAGTGTGGCTCCGGGACTTCTTGCTCCCTAAATGTCCCTCCTGAATTTTTATCCACTTGGGGGTGGAGCCAGCCCGATCCAAGTCCACACCCCTCGTGCCAGTCTGGGTGGATGTGGTTTCTTCAGTTCTGTTGTCAGAGTTTCATTTACTTATTTTTCAGACCATAAGATGTACACCTCTCCTCTAGGAGAGGTTTTAAGGGAGAAAAATAGGGGAAAATTTGAAGCAAAATATGTAGTAAAATATTTAATAACATAAATAACATAATATTTCACCAATGCAAATGTAAACAGAACTCAACAGGAACATTAACAACGATTATTCCTCCCAAATTGGTGGCAGGGGGATCTTATAGTCTGAAAAATAGGGTAACTCGGTTTCTGACATTCCTGAGTGATGGTTATTCTATATTTTAGTTGTAATAATTTTGATGTGGTTGTGTGAAGAAACAAGCCACACCTGCTTGCATTGCCATCTTGACCGGAAGCCTGCAAGCCATGTTTGACACATTCGACCCCTCATAGCACCTCTCCATACACTTAACAAATCTTTTTTTTTTTTGCATTTTAGTTGCATAAAATAAAGCAAAATATGCTGAAAGTTTTGCTATTTTCTTCCATCTTCAATATTAAAATGGCTACACAAAAATTCATCAATTTCGGTAAGTTTTTTTAATGCATGCTGATATGACAGCTGTCACAATACAATGTAAAAAAATTGTTCAAATGATGTTAAAGACAACTAAGCTCTACCAGAGCTATCTTATGGAAAAAACCAAATGAATTTTTTAGCCAACCCAATATGACATATATTAATGGTTCAAGACAGGGCATTCACACTGGTTGACTATCGTTGTGCTGGCATTTGTCATTTTTTTATTTGACAATCAAAAGGAAAAGAGGTCAGTGCCCCTGACTAAATAGTCAGGTACTGCATATTTTAAAAATTCCTGTGGCACACCAGTTGAAAATCGCTGATCCACACTATCATGTATTTTCTTTAACAGAGTCTGTATTATTTTTTAAAATCTTTTTTGAATTTTTGACTTACCATGTTAACCAGCAACAACTCCAGGTCAACACTTCTAGATGAAATGAAATCTGAACCTCAGGTTTTTAAAGTTAGTTCTGTTTATATAAAAGAGGACTGTGGAGGGTAAAAACACCAATGATTTCAGGGAGAAAAAAAGGGAGATTGGGGAGAGAGGGAGAGGAGCAAAGAGAGAGACTGGCTAGCGAGAGACTGGAAATTTTTTTCCCATCCCCTAGAGGCTTATTTTTTATCTTTCTTTTTCACACTGTAAAGTGTCAAATTAAATTGCAAAGTTAATTCTCAGCACTAAGGAAGGGATTGTAAATGTATTAAGGATTACTGAGCAATTTAATTTTATTCATGCAGATGGTAACATTTTAATGATTAAACATTTGTTATCTTTTACATGTTTACATTATAGAATATTATAATTTAACATTAATACTTTAGACTCTAGGTTCTGGAGACTTGGATGACTTTTGAAATGAGAGCTGTGCTTATTAATAAATTTGATTTTATAAATTACGATACAGGAGTTCCTTTGAGAAAATTATTTTCTTTAAAGATGAAGTTCTTCATGGGATGAGACCTTAACTGACAGGAAGTCCTGAGTTCACTGTGGAGAAGAAGGACTCAGGTCTCACTCTGGGAGAACGTGAAGTGCCTTGTGAACACTGACTGTCTCTCTCAGTGATTTGTCTTCTGCAAACAATGATCTTTGCATTTCCAAACAGAGGATGCATCCATCAGTACAGAAAGTGAACAGTTGTTCTGCAAGAAAATCTAAGAGAAAGAAAAACAAAATGATTTGCTTTTGGTAAAGTAATAAATAGTATAAAAAACAAGATTTTTTTAAAAAAAGGCTTGTATCTTTGACTGAAAACCACGTTATTTAATGATTATGTCTAAATTCTTTAATCAGTGGGGCATACATTGAAAAAGCTGGAATTGTTGTCTTTTTTACAAATAAATGTTGAAGAGGCTGTAAATTCTAAACTATGAAACAATAATCTGAAAATAAAATGATAACCAATTTAAAATTAAAGACTGTGTTTCTTTCTCCAAATTTGCTTTGCCTTTTAACATTTAGTTTGGATCCCTCCGCTATGTTCTCTCAGTAAATAAGCTACCCTAAATTCACAGATGATATTAAAAAATATAACTTCTTGGAAGGGAGATAACATTGGAAATTACAGTGCTTCAAGCAAAACTAAATTATACTGCTTTTCATGGCACCAACAATCAAGGTTTTCTGTTTTTTTAATTAAGTCGTGGGGTTTTGTTAAAATGAAAGCTTTAACTTTTTATATATGGACAGAGGGAATATGTGCGTAGGCACAATTGCCCACTTGTCACCTTGACAGACAGGGATTATCATTAATAACAATGTAACACGGGCACACGGGGCATCTGGAGTCCTGTCTCTGGTCAGATTTAGGTCCTGCCAGTGGCAGCAGCTGTGTTAAATTTAAGAGGACAGGAGTGGGTTAGCGACATTTTGTAAGAAATAAATGAGCCTTCAGCACACACCAATTGCTGGTAAATTCAGAAAATAATAAACACTCTTCCTTGAGCCAGCAAGCACGATAGAAAACACACCTGCAGACACTTATTTTCAGAACAGCGAGATGTTGCTGTGGAACGGAAACGTCTGCCGAAGCCTCTCCGTTCCTCGGTCCTGGCCTTTTCCCCATCCTTTCTCATTCGGGGCGGTCTCCTGGCTTCAGTCGTTCTGGATCTAAATAAAATAAAACCCCAAACTTCACAACTCAAAAATGTCAGCTTCAATTTTAAAACCGAAGTCATTCTCTACTGAGTGTTTGTTCACCCCAACTTTCTTCCTTTAGACTATGCTTTTTTTTTCTGTGAAAATAGCATCAGCATATTTTATACAATGAAACACCAAAAACCAATCGAACAAATAAAACCCATCAAAAAGCCATTTAAAACTATCCAGAAAATGGAACAGTCCTTAAGCCATATAATGAAGCATCTACCTAATACCATATTAAATATAGATAGTTTTATGCTTTATCCTGTGATTGGCATTCCAGAGAGGAGGTAAAAAACTTTGACCAAATATTTTCTTTAAGTCAATTGTGTGAGATTTTAAATGACCAACTTTCTAATATTTGTAAATATCAGATAATTGATATAAGTAAATTTTTATTTCTTAATAAATCTAATTTAAAAACCCAAATTCTTCCAAGTTGCCATTTTAATTTCCTGAAACAGAGCCTTGTGTCTGTCACTCGACACCATGAAAACTACATGTACTTTTTATTCCCTTGTCTTAAATCATAATTCAAAAAACCTCTAAAAAGAAGGATCTACATTCAGAGGTAAAGTAAAACCTGAGATTAAAATAAAGAATAGTAATACATAGAATAGACTTAATATACTCAAACGATAGTTTTATGCCATAATCTACTTTTAAAATTAGATGATCATCATCAAAATTGCTCCCTATTTCTGTGGTTTTCAAACTTTTTTTAGGTTTTTGCCATCATCAGGAGTATCATACACATACACTCAGCCAGGGAGAGAGAGCAAGAGGACAGGCTGAGGCAAATCAACTGAACTGAATCGACAGAGTGCATTTTAGGTCACTTTCAGCCTATACTGTAAGTTAAAATAGAGTTTCTCAAATAAACGCATCCCAAGCTTTATAAAACTGTGTTTCAGTAATAAGGATGCATATCAATTGTTGTTTATAATGAAAATTAGTGTTATAAACTTTAGAGTAGTAGGGAAGGTAAAAGAAATAATAAAATAATTCCTGTTACCATGATTTATATTATGGCTTCTAAACATGTCAGGAAGACGTGAGAAATAAGATCCTTTGCACTTATGATCATAAGTGCCAATCATTACATCCCAAACCACAAAAAATTAGAAGCTGGAATTAAAACAATGACAAAACAAATAGGACAAAGAACTTCAGTGCTGTGCTTTTTCCTCCTATTGCTATTGGGATTGAAAAGAAGTTTGTCTTACATTATTATTTCTATACAAAATGTGGGTCTGCATATGGCCTCTCCTTACATTGAAAAATCCTTGGTGGTAGAAGATACATTTTTACTTACCTGTCTGCCAACATATTGCCATGCACACAAAATTCCTTAAAATGCAGTTTCAAAACCAAACAAAAAATAATGGCACACTGTCCTTAAATGTAATCACAGACATAATTGTCAAATCCTTTAGCTAGGGCCTTAAAGGAACAACATGAAAACTTCAATGTCAAGTTCAAGTCTTGAATCAATGGGAGCAAAGCCTCAAAAGCCCTGAAGCCCAAACCATAGAAATCTAATTTTGTATTAAATAAAAAACTGTTGAAAGTGGTTTCATATATCATGAATCCTTAATGCCTATCTTCTACTAATTTGCCTTTATTCTGGAAAAAATAATTTTGATATAATATAGATTACAAACATAACACAGTAATTCAGAATTACACAAAAGTAATTATGATATTAACTAAATATTGGAGAATTTGAAAACTATGAAGATAGTATAAGGAGATAGGATCAGAACCAGTTTTAAAGATGTCAGCATTCTGAAATGAATACATATGCTCAGAAAAATCTAAATTAATATTGAATTTTTTGTTATGTATTTTAATTTTATACAAATAACTTTAAATGTGTAAAGGTAGAATTTATATTATAAAATAAATGCTAATTTTTCAAAAAGTAGACTTACTTTAGATCTATTGTGTTTATTCATTCAACACACATCAATCAATGCTCTCGAAAAACACTGTAATGTTGACTTATAACAGAAAAATATTGCCAAAGTATTGATTTTCAAGGATCTGTCAGTTCAACAGAGCTGATAAAATAGTAGGAAACAAGTAATAATAATATAATATATAAAACTAAGTACTATTAAATTTCAGTTATTAATATGTTTTCAATGAACATTTGGAAATTTAAACTTAGCAATGTAATTATAAGCCATGACCAAGTAGATTTATTAAGTGAATTAATGTATATAAAGCTTTTAAAACATATGTAGTAAGAGCAACAAATTCATTAACTGTTAGTTATTTATTCCAAAAAATATAAGGATATTTCAACATGACAAAAATGTCTAGTTTATTCAATTAACGATTAAAAGAGAAAAATGTATTTATCAATATACACAAAAACACATTTGATAAACTCTGAAGGCAATTAAGAAAAAGCAAACAAAAAAACATCAACTATAATGTTAAAGGGCAAACGGCCAAAGCCATCATAATTAAAATCAGGGTTCAGCCACGAAGCAGAAGTCACACCAGTTACTTTAGCAGGGAAAATTTAATAGAAAGAAATATTAATGAGGTGCCAAATTATTCACAAAGTAGTTTTAAAAAGAGAGAGAGAACTTGGGATCCCAGAGGTGGCAGTTGCAGAAAGCAGCTACAGCGCCGTGATTGAATGACATCAGGAAAGGCCCTTGTGGAAATGAAACTCAGGCTTCTGGTATCTCTGAGTGGGGAGTGCAGAGGTGGTTTCTACACAGGTTGGAAAGCTGTTCATGGGACTCCTCCGCTGCTCTGGGAAGGAACTGCTCTGGCCAAGATGAGGAAACGTTGGTGGGATGATGCTCATAAGAACAGGGAGCAATAAGAAGCTCCCAGAAAACAAATAGAAAGAAACAGTCCCTCCTTTTTTCTGCAGCCTGTCATCTCTCTGCCTCTGAACCCTATCAGCAGTGTTTAACAGGGAGTCATCTTGCAAAGCAAAAACATAGTTCACAGAGTTCCAGCCCTAACAACGAAAGCACAGCATCAAAAGGTAGGTTTGTAACTAAGAGATAATAGCTTAATAAATGACATACTCACTATTATCATTAGTATTCAAAATTGTCTTTGGAAACCTAGGCTAATGCCAAAGATAAGAAAACAAAATAAATCACTAGTAATTAATATAAATCAGGGAGGGGAGCCTTCATTTACTTGCAGAAGATGTTATTATATCTATAAAAGCTGAGAAACTATATTAAATTATTTTTTAAAATTAAAGCCAGGTAAGGTAGCAAGATATAAGATAAATATACAAATAATCATTTTTCTCTATACTTGGTGCATCAGTTAACTCTGTTAGGTAACAAGACAACCCTAATGTTGCAGTTGCATTCAATACCAAACATTTATTTCTCACTAACATTCCATGAGGGCTGAAGGCTAGTGTTGGGAGACACTCTTCCATGAGTCTACTATGTGTTTATATATATTTGCTGGGTGTGTTAAACCTTCAACACCCAGCTATTTCTCAGGATTGTGTTTGCAGGGAGCAACTTTACAGGGACAGGGTAATTCCACTTCTGGAGCAAAGAGCAGGCCTGCTCACTGCCTGCTGTGAAATGATAGGATTTAAAGTTCAGTGTTCTTGTCCTGGAATGCATCCTGCTGTGCTCTTTCTGGCATCGACTGGGCTCCTCGCACCACCAATGTGGGAGTGGAGACTCAGGTAACCAACACAAACAGGTGGATACTCTAGCTGCTATCTTTTGTCTCTGACTCAGGAGTTGTCTTCTGCCAACATCCATGATACTGGCAAGTTAACATCTTAGCTCAAAAATAAGGTAAATATGAAACCTTCCACAGGCGTTGACAGCCGGCTGCTACTCTTCTGTGAGCTATGGGTTGGTTGCCGGTCTGCTTCACAAGCAGTCTCATTCCAGGATCTAGGATGAAGGGGCAGCCTCGACCTTGATTGACACTCTAATGTCAGAGAACAGAAGCTCAAGAGGGCAAGTATAATCACACAATTGAATTTAAAGCTTCCGTTTTAATGTGTTTATATCATGTCCACTAACATTCATTGGCCAAAGTAAGTCACATGGCCAGCCCAGATGGGGACAGGAAGTATGCTTCATCTCTAAGGAGGTATTACAAATTATATGCAATGAACATGGATGTATAATTCTCTTATTAAAGAGGGAGTAGGTAATGACCGATAATATTGTAATACAATCTATCGAGCTAGCAGTCACCAGTTAAATATAAATGGAAAATGAAACCCTCCTCTTCACAATAGCAAAAAAAAATTTTAAAAACTGTAAAAAGAATGGAGTTAACAAAAAATTACAATATCTACATGAAAACCTTCTTTCTTGAAAGGCATAAAATAAAAGTCAATAAATGCGAACATACTATGTTACTAGATGGAAATATAGTATGATTGAAAATTCCTTTCTCATTTTAATGCAAATTAAATAATAATCTTAGTTTTGGTGTTCTTTAAAATAAAGATGAATTATATGTTTACGTGGACAAGGAGGTCATCTATGAAGAACTGTTCAGTGATAACGCGTATTTCAGAAAATGTGCTTTATTGTCTTTATGAAATAAAAGCACTGCACATTTATGTGCTAATGTAAACATGAACAAATGTTTATAGGAGCATAAAGAAGAATAGGGCAGAGAGATCACTTGATTTACCTCAAAGAGATGAGTTTATAAGAGACCAGGGGAATAATCCCTTTTTCTTTTTATATCTCTGTCTTGTTTGACAATGGAGTTTAGGCCAACAGTAAATAAGATATCAGAGCATCATGCAAGTACTTTAAATCTTGTCTACGTCTCCACTAAAAGCTGGCATGTTTTAGGCTACTGACGCAGATGTGAGGATAGAACAAAAGAATATTTTGCTTATTGAACTCAGGTCTGAGGGGGAAACTAGGCAGTCATCTTCCGCCACCAGCATCGCTTTGCTCTTCTAAACCAGCCTGGCACTCTTGAAAACACTACTCAGTAAAATTTCCTTTTCCCATAAGGTAACTGAAGATGGCAGCGAAAATACAAAACTGATGGAGCTCACTCATGTATCAAGGTTCAATTCAGGCTTTCTGCAAACAACAAGGGTTCCACTTTTTTAGGCCTAAAAACACCGATCAAAGGAGCTATTGAGTCCCTACCTCACACTTAATGACATTTAAATCATAGTCACACTAAACTTATTTTTCTATGAGTAGACCTTGTTGGCAGAATGCAGCTCTCTCCAGTAGGTACTATTAGATGTTGAGACATGTTAAGAAGAGACGGTACTGGCTGTGAAGACTGGGTGCACAGTGGCCCTTTCAATCACTGGAGGACCAACTTCACAACACCTGGAGAAATTCTCAGGGACCATTTCCAGGTCTGCCAAAAGTTGATCTGAGAGAATATTTTTTCTTTTATTCTATCATCAGGCACCAGAATGTCTCACCTAACAATACCACTCATTGAGTTTTGCAGGGACCGAGTTATGGGTTTTTCTTCCTGTGAGTTCTATGCATCTTATGACTGCCCCAAGAACTTTGTGCTGCGCCATGTGTCTATGTGTGACTTGTGGTTAAGATGCTATGGAAGGAAAAAGCTGTTTCTCAAGCCTTCGGGGCTCCAACCAAACCTAATAATATGTTTGAAGCCCTGTCAAAATTCTTCTGAATAAATGAGCTATTTAAAAAATTGGTTGGAATGTGCATTCATGATGCTCCAGTAACACAGGAGTCACAGTGAGGAATTTGGCTGGGGGAAAATCAGTTATTCACTGCCCAACACTCCGTGAGAATGAGAATTATTCACATCATTACCGTGGTAGTCAACCCCATGAACAGTACTAGAGTACATGCCATATGTTGAGTATTTGAATGTTCATGACGAAGTTATGTTCAATTCTGAAGTTTGCTAGTTATCAAAAAGGAAATTTGGCTGAAGAATCAGGGGCCTTATTTTTAGAACATCGAGGAAACTACCAACTGCTTCAGACTTTCAAGACTAATAGTTTGATCTCGGCCATATTTGGCAGATACATTTGGAATTCTGTACATGGAGCCTGAAGTTTTAGGAAGTAAACACCAATATTAATGTGTTAAATATGTTTTAGACAGTTATAAATTCCAGCTCTAGGGAAAAATGTTGTTAAAAAATGGTCTCTTCTCTTTCTGACCTAATTCTTAACATTGATCTCAGGGAAAAATGTAAAATATCACCTGGTTTGCTTGCAAGATAAATGCAGGTGATATTTTCCTGATATTGTGTCAGAAAATTCCATTTGGAAATTTGAGAGGAAATTTTGACTTGCCGTTAACATTTCATATTTGCCAAGCAATCCCCAAGAGAAGATTTGGGAAACATAGTTGATTTCGTTGTAACTTCCAGAAAATTATTTGGAAAAATTTTGGGTTAAACAGCTTCTTATTTCATCCAGAATAAGTGAGCAAGCCTTGGATGCCCTTATCCAATTTGTATGAACCTTATTTATGACACTTTTTTCTTTACCTTTTATATCACTGGATCTGAAAACAAAGCAGCATGACGGGCTTGATGTTCAAAACGGCCTACGTTGCGCTCTGGCTTTCAACTCTCTTCCAAACTCTCGCTTCCAAAGAGAGCTCAGTTGCTGGTTCAGTTTGCACATAAAGGCACATAGTTAAGATAAAAAATGCAGGTCTCAAGCTAAAAGTTAAATCTTTCTTCTGAAATACAATTGCTTTTATTCAACTGCTACATTTAATTCAATTTAAAATAAAATGAAAAGAAACCATGGTTTCGAAATAAGGAAGTAGGTTAAAACTCTCGCCTCCTTTTTGCTATTTCAGGGAATACATCCTTCTCCGTAGAAATACAGAACTGGTTGTGATTTGCTGTCTACACTGCGCACTTTCTGCTTCTGTGTCCTCTCAAATTATGCTTTCCTTTCCTGAAATTCACTTTTCCTCAACGAATTACTTCCTGGCTTTCAAATCTCAGATTAAGTAAGTCATTCACTCTAAAGAGCCCGGTTCAGCTTCTATTCTCCACCAAACCCTACTCAACTTTTTATCCCAGTCTTTTCCACAAACTGTGTATGCCATGCTGCCGGGGACCATACTTTATCTGATTTTCAGTGTGCAGCCCCTCTCAGAGTATCTATGGCATGCCGGTATCTATGGCATTTACCTGAAATTTACAGGTAAATGCATGCAGGCATGCATGTCACAGAGAATAAGCAGAGAGAAGGTCAGCGACTGACTTCAGTCGTAGTCATGGTGGGCTGGCGGGGAGAGACGGGAGAGGTGACACCAGACCGGACTCTGACACTGAACAGGCCGTGCCACATAGGAGGCAACGTTGGAGGAAGCTTCAGGGAAGAGCATCTCAGGCAGGGAAAGAGTGTGGAAAAGAAGGGAGGCAGGGAGGGAGGATGGGACGAGAAGTTTTGAGCAAGGAGGTAAAGAAGTATAAAAGAGACGTAAGGCGACGGGGAGTGATGGGAACTGTGGAAAACTGGAAGGTGCTGGCCTCATTTAAAGAAGGGAGCCATTACCAGGCTTTTAGAGATTCTGCTCATACAGGAATTGAGAGCCTAAGGCTGCCATGTCTTCTTTTTTAACAGTAGGTCATAATGGGAGATACAATTTCCCAGTTTTTAGATACAGCTAAATAACTTTACTACTTCACACAAGCTAGAAAGACACATCCGTGGGCTGAGTTTGTTTAATGAGTTCTGTTTTATGTCCATAGCAAGAAGCATGTAAACTGTGGAAAACAAGCTCTCTTAACTCACCAGGTCAGTGGTCAGGTGGCGGTACGGGAACGATGTGGAAGCAGCCATCTCTGCCCCCGACGCACTGCCTGCCCTGCGCACCGCACTTTCCAGGGAGAGTGTGTTCTCACCGCCAGCGTGCGCCTGCAGTGTGAGACCACTGCTGACCGTGGGCAGGTCTGGGGAATTCACACGCCTGAGCGAAATGGAAAGGTCTGGAAAACCCCCTCTAGGCAGTTTAATTTCACACTCTACATAAATCACCAGGGGGAGAATAAAGGGGGAACAATAAAAGGTTCAAGGACAGAAATTTGGGGAATACCTACCTTCCGGGCACTTGAAGACAAGAAAAGGAAGGAGTTAGAACAAGAAAAACAAAGAGAGTTTGCCATGGAAACCTAGGGAACGAGGCCAGTGAGGTCATTTATTACAATTATGCTCAGGTTATTTCGAACATTTGTTTTTATTAATAAAATGACATGAAAAGTAATTTTAGTGACTATTAAATTAGCCAGCATTCTTTTGCTTATAGGTTCAACAGTTAACATTCCCGAACAAATAATACGCGATTAGAAAAGAGATCTGAGGCTAGTTTCACATCTGCTTTGCTTTAACCTTTCTGCACAGGAAAAACAGTCCTGATGGCTTCGCCCAGTTTCTGAACTCGGAATTTTCTTACCTGGAACTGAAAAGCCCTCACACATGAGGAGATGAGTCTCCTGGTGTCGAAACTTTGGAAACCTGGTGCGGAATTTTCTTCTCAAATTTGAAATTCACCTGAGAAATATGTACAGTCAGTAAGAGAATATGGGGATGTGTTCAGCCTCATTAGCAATCTAATCCACACAAATCAAAGCAGCAATAGGAGAGCCTGGATGGTTTGGAATAGTGCTGGTGTCTAGGGCTGGCTGCTTTGCTGTCGCTCCTACTGTGAGACAGTGCAGGAGGTCGTACATTTGGGACGAACCCTATGAAAAATAACTTGGCAGTGCATTGCCAGAACCACAGAATGCCCTGGCTCTGTAGTTTTTGGAACTGAACTTGAAATCTAAAAAATAAGAGAAAAAAACCTACATTTATAAGGATTTTTGTGTCACCCGTATTTACAAGCTATCCAGTGTACTTAAAATGGCTATGCAATAACAGCTCAGTAGATTATTGAGGTTGGTGTCCTTAGAAGCAGAGCCTGAGTTGGGCGTGGCTGTGCAGTGATTTAGTGAAAGTGTTTTCTGGTAAAACCTAGAAGGGAGTGAGGGACCCAAAGTGGGTGCTGAGGAAGAAGCCAGGTGAAAATGTGGGTTTAGCTGAAGTCTAGCCTCAGCCTGAGAGCGTGGGGAGCTCTCAAGTGTCAACAGCCCCACAGATTGAACCCCCTTGAGCAAGGGTCTGGCACTGGCTGCACTTCATCTCTGGGAGGAGGGTGTAATCATCCCTGCTTTTCCAGATGAGGCAGCTCTGTCTCTCAGGAGAAGGGTTTAACTCACATTTTCCTGGGGCATGGGTGCACTGGCCCGGTGCTGTCCGGACATCGGCAAGCACCCCTTTCCTCTCCGGGTTAGAGAATATGATTGATCTGTTGAATCCAGCTCAGTTATAAAATCTAGTACTCATATAGGACAGAAGTCCTGGACTTTAGTCCTATTTCTTTTTCTTCTACAAAGAGCATGCCCCTTTGTCAGCAAACAGCTTCTTCCAGTGGGAGCTGCTAAATTATTTCTCCAATACGCCTCATTTCTTTCTCTCCATACCACCTTCTACCACCACTCTAGCCTTAAATAAATAATTGAAAAAATGGACTGGAGAGAGAGAAAAAAGGAGATTTTGGTAGGTGGAAGGCAGAAGTGTGGCTTCTAGTGGCTTAAAAGTTGGAAAATGTGTCTTATTAGTGTCAATCCCGTCTATCGCAGTAACAGAGCAGGTGAGTCAGAGGCTCGTCCAGTCTCCCTCGGCAACGTCTGCCCTGTGGTGGTTCAGGAGGCGAAGCGTGTGTCTTTTAATCCAAAAATGTGCTCCTCCATACAACCTTTTGAATGGTACAGGTAGTGGAGACTCTGGCTGCTGTTGCTCAAAGCAGCCTCTGCTTTAGTTTCCGCTTCTTGTCTCTTTGTTTATCTTCGAGAATTTTAAAGAGTGATTGGGAGGCATCTCAAAGCTATCAGGACTGGCCAGTCTTCCGCCAAGTTGATTCAGAAGAGTTTTTAATGGGACGCTGGGAAGTCTTTGCACATTTGAGCATTTCTTTTGAGAACTCTTTAAAATTGATGTCTTTTTACTAAAGATTTCCTGTTTAGACCAGATATTCCTATTTCTACATACACTTTAGAAATAAATGATAAATATGCAAATTCAAAAGTAATACATGAAAAGCGCTGAGGCTTTTCCACCTGAAGCCTTAAAAATATTAAAGAGACAAGGGGGTGAAAGGGGGACGACAAAGAAGCACAAAAATTCGGGAAGGATGGGAGCAGTCATGCAATCACGTTTGTCATTCAAACCCCTGTTCTACCACTGAAAATCTGCGAATTTGAATAAGGTACTTTCTCCTTCCAAGCCTCAGTTTCTTCAGCTACCTAGTGGGAATGACCATTTTTTCCTCCCTGGGTGAGCAGGGTGGTGGTGAAGGCTGGGGACATCTCTTCTGCAGGCCCCGAAGCCAGCATGCCTGGCTTTCAGTGCCGGCTACACCAGCACTAGCTGTACGACCTCTGGCATGAAGCCCCATAAGCCTCAGTTTTCTTTTTAGGAAAATGAGCATAATAAGAGTATTTATCTTCTAGGGGGTGATTTGAGGATTAAATTAATTAATACACCCAAATGCTTAGAAGAATACTTGGCATATAGCAAGCATTAAAAGAACATTGGCTGCTAATCTGTTAAATTTTGTCATGATTTTTAAATTAAATAATATATTTAAAGAAAATAAGTGTTCAGTAAACCTTATAGCAAGGAGCTGGTTGGTCTGTATGTACTGCATAGCAAGGGGCATATTCTGTATAAACACCAGCTAAATTTTTCCAATTCGATGTCATCATCATTTAGAGCAAATGAATCACACAAAACACAGCAAGGTAATGGAGACTTTGTGTGTCAAATATTGACAGATCTCTTGAAGTCTGTATTATTAATATGGTGTATCATCTTTCTTCATTTCTTTTTGAAGGGACAGAAAGTACTCCCTCAGCATGATGGATCACCAACAACACCGACAAGGAAACAGTTACTACGGAGCAGGCTGTAACCAAATCAGCCCTCTTCCCCTACAATGGCAGTACAACACAGAAAGGAGGGAGGGGGGAGGGGAGAGAGAGAGGAACCGTGACCTCGAACAAATGAGACATAAATAAAATAAAATGCCTTCATAAATAGGTCAGTCAATAGCTTCAAAACTGAAGTCCAGATGTTATCTCCGATCAGTCTTAGAAATTAGTCACCACTGATTTGACACTGCCTACGGTGACTTCCCACTTGTGGGCAAATGCACGTCATGAAGTTTTCTTTTTGCTAATTTCATGACTTAAAACAAGGCCTCAAAACCATTTACAAAGATAATATAAACACATTTAAATTAAGTGTTGAAATATGTCTTCAAGATAATGATAATGATACAGGTGTCTCTCCTCTAACGTGATACGTGCTCCCTTCTACACTGTGCTGCACAGAACCAGATACTGGTACTAGGAGTTTAGGAAGAAGTAACACTGGAGCAGGCCCCTCAAAACTATGCAACTTTGTAACCAGAGCACCAGAAAAACAAAAATTGTTTCCTGGAACAATAACTTTGAGGGCCCGGTCAGGCAGCTCTCAGAGTCTAGAAAATGCCACAGCAGAAGACAGGCCAGGCTGGCAACGTGTAGGGCAGGGCGGGGC